CTTTATCCTCCCTTCCCCATAAACCGTGCTCACACTATTCAGATCTGATCAACAGCCCCAGCACCTAAGTGAGCGGGGAAAAATCAGAGCTCAGAAGCAGTGTGCAGGAAATTTGCGATTAATTTCCTTAGAGTTCTACCATGGGGCCTCTTGGCTTTTACAGCTCACACTCTCCTTGGCACATTCTGTCCCCTCTTAGCTTCAAGTACCAGCTTTACTTTGCACACCAGAGACCTGGGAGTTCACCTGACACTGCTCTCCTCCTCACACTGGCACCTTCAGTCCATGACCAAATCCTGACATGTTTATAGGCAGACATCTGTCAGATCCATTTACCTCTGTCTCCACCACCCACCCCCACTCTGGTTTAAGCTGTCGATCCCTCCTGGACGACTTCAGTGTCCTCCCCAACAGTCTCCCGCTCTGCTGAGCCTCCTCCCATCATTTCCCCACAAGTGCATGTAGAATGATCTTGTCAAAATGCGAATGTGGCCATGTCATCTCCCTGGTGAACATTCTTTAATGGCATCCCCTAAAAAAAATCCTTAACATGGTCTAGGCTGCTAGACAATAATAATAATAATGTAGGTTCTAGAACCTGACCACATGAACTCAGAACCCAGCACTGCCACCTTCCAGCTGAGCCTTTGCGCAAGTCCCTTAACTTCTTCATGCCTGGGTTTCCTCCTGCGTAAAATAGAGATTTCAATAGTATATCTCATAAGGTTGGTGAGAAGATTAAATAAACTAATAGTGTTTGGAACAGTGCTTGACACACAGGAAGCACCCAATGAATGTTACAAAACACTGCCTGCCTGCTGGCCTCAGCTTGCACACTCTCCCTCCTTGCCCTCTACCAGCACTGGCCCTTTATTCAGCTCCTCTTCCTCTCTGGGCTCTCTCAGACCTCAGGGCCTTTGCATAGGTTGTCCTCACTCTTCTTTCCTATGAAAAACTCCTCCGGGGGAAAATCCTCTTTAGTCACCTTGAGTCTAAGTTCCAGGCCTATAGCATTAAGTACCTCTACATTGGAGTTATTGTACCCATTGCAATTTTCCAGTAATTTGTGTGATTATATCATAAATGTTTGTCTTCCCCTCTAAACTCTGTAAATTCCACAAGAATGGGCACCACATCTGTTCTTTCCTTACCACTGGATCCTCACTTCCCACACAGTGCCGGGCACACAGTGATGCACAATGACTATATTCTGAATGACTGAACACATCCCTTGACTCTCAAACCTCCATCTCCTACACAGAACTCCCTCCTAAGCTTCAAAATGGAATACCCACCTGTCTCCTGGACCTGTGTCCTTGGTTCTCCCAAACTCCATCACAATCACAAATGGAACTCACCACATCCCTCCCTCCAACCTGTTTACCTGTCACAATGAGTGACATGACATTTTTCAGTCCATTACCCAAACCAGGAAACTGGTTGTCGTCCCAGACTCTCCTTCAGCCCATGTATCCAATTCGTGAGCACATAAATAAATAAACCCATCTCCTGAGTATTTCCCTGATCTTTCCAGTCTCTCTGAGAGCAAGGAACTCACCTACCTTGACCACCACTGTGTCTCCAGTACGAACATAGGACTCGATTATTTGTCAATCAGTAAATAACACTGCCCCAGCCAAGGCCACTATGATCAGCTGCTTAATGTAGCTCCCTGCCTCCCCTCTAACTTCCCCTGAATTCATTTTAGCAGCTTAGTCTGACCATGTCACCATCCTGCTTGAAATCCTTCAACAGTTCCCCACTTATAGGACTCTGCTTTCAGCGCCAGTCCTCCAGAAGCTGGACAGTATTTCCTCATAGTTAACAATGACCAGTATCGGTTAGTAAGTGTTTATTTTTAAAAAGCAAGGAATGAATAGTGCCTGGGCTAACCTGAGGGTCTGAAAACTCCAGTTTCTTCGCCCTTTCACCGCAGCTCATTCTATCAAAAGAAAATGTATTTATGAAATTAGCTGAGACTACAAACTGCTAATCACTGTACTTTACACACAAATATCAAGCAATTAAAGTTATAGCCAAAAGTGGCAAGTTCCCATCCTGTGCCCAAGGAAAGAGCAGAGCTGTCAGAGAGGGAACTGGTACCCATCCACGGCTCTGTACGATGTCCACGGGAAGGGGAGATCTTCAGACACTCTTAGGGACTCCCCCGTCTTGAGATGGCCTCCACCTTCATAAGCAGCCCCTCTTCTGACTTTGATTAAGCCTCCTCTTTTCTTTCCTGTCAGGACACTTGAACATTCTTACTCATGCGTTCTCATTGCCGTAGCAGCTCCTCATCAACTTCCCAGCAGAGGAACTGGAGGAGGCTGTCCTCCTCTCTCTCATCCAGGAATTTTTCCTGTGAATCCAGGGTCCTCCAAAGTTCACTGACACCCAGTGTTTTGGCCAACGCACACTTCCACTCAACTCCATCAGGGTGCCAGAGACCTGTGAGCCAGGTTCATGGGATCACTGAAGAGACAGGCCAAGGAAAGCTCCCCTGCCAGCTTCCTTCGTGCTTTCTCTGTGCTGAGGTCTTTAAGGACCACAGTGACCAGCATCCCTCCTCTCTATGCAAATTCTGAACCAGTTAAGAGAGAAAAGGTAGAAGCGAGGCAGACAGAGAGCAAAGCTCCCCCTGCGTCACTGACACCACCTGGTGCTGCAGGACATGATCCATGTCTGTAAGTGGTCCTCTTAAAAATTAGACGGGCTTCATGACCTAGTTTTAAGACCTACATTATAGAGGAGCAGAGCACTACTGTGCTTCCGATGAGCAAAGAAGAGAGCAAAACAGAACTACACACATCCAGTTCCTTAACCCAAACTCACTGATTGCAAAAGGCCTCCCTCCTGCAGGACAATAGGGGTCAGGAGTGTTACACCGTGGATATCCGTCTTTGGGGAAGGAAACACGTGGAGCAGAGGTGAGGCATCCCCAGTAGTGCTCCCTACAGGTAAAGTCTGTACGTATTTTTTACATTTCAAGAGGCCAAGTGTTGTCAATAGATGCCGATAGCACAAAGCCACATTACCGGCTCTGATCAGAGGCCACCTATCTCTGGCTGTCCTGAGATACTCTCAAAGGGGCCCTGCCTTATGCCTCCTTTGTTCCCAGCCTCATTCAGACAATACAGAATTCCAAGCATTAACAACCAGCATGCCTTGGGCACCAATCAATCAGGACAGATGCTCCAGCAACCAGAACCTACACTCAACCAATCAGAACTGACGTCCAACCAAATAGAGCAGATCCTGGCCCGTATCCCATGCAAGGGCTTCCCCTCACGATAGCAGCCTCGGTTATTTGAAAGCCCGGACACTGAGGATCCCTGAAGGCAAATTCTTGGGGGCATGACAGGAGCCGAGAGTACCTACATAAACATGAGATCCCTTCTGGGGAGGTTAAGGAGGTAGGCGTGAACTCGCCGACCTGTGCTCTCTGGTTAGAAAGCTCACCTCCAGCTCTGTCTTGAGAACTGCGCCCTGCCCTGGACTCCAGTGCCACAAGTCTGGCGTGTCCTACTGCCTTCATTCAGCTGTTTGTAGCCAAAACACAAGACGTTTGTCGTGGTTTTGTCAGACTAGAGTTGTCATATTTAGTGTAGCTGCCTATTCTCCCAAGTAAATATTTTTCTTAGTAGTAAATAATAAAACAGACTTTGTTTTCATTTATTTCATTTCATTTTCTCTCCTTGGATGATTAGCTCTGTCACTATAGAGAGACCAGAAAGCTCCATCTCCTGACAACTCAGAAGATCTCCATCAATAGCCAGGCATGTCCCCTGCTGGGTGCATTAGTGTCGTGGGGAGGCTGTAACGAAGTACCACAAACTGTAGGGCTTAAAGCAAGAAGAGGGAGGACGCAGCTCGGGGATAGAGCCATGCTTAGCATGCACAAGGTCCTGGGCTCAGTCCCCATTAAATAAATAATCCATTAAATAAACAAACCTAATTACCTCCCCCACCCCCACTGCAAAAAAAAGAAAAGAAAAGAAAATCAATTATACTTCAATTTAAAAACAAAAAACATGAAAAATATACTCCCTTGTAGTTCTGGCTGCCGGAAGTCCAAAATGAAGATATTGGCAGAGCCGTGCTCCCATAGAAGACTCAAGGGAGCAGTTCCTTCCTTCCTCGCCTCTTCCAGCTTCCAGGGGCACAAGGCCCTCCCTGGCTCGTGGCAGCGTCGCTCCAATCTCCGCCTCTGTCCTCACGTGGCCCCACCTTCCCCCTCTGCCTGTGTCTTCTCACGGCATTGTTCCCTCTGTATCTCCATTTTCTCCTCTTATAAGGACACAAGTCCCACTGGATTAAGGACCGACCCTAATGGAGTGCGACTTGACTTGATGGCTTCTGCAAAGACCGTTTCCAATAAGGTCACGTTCAACGGTCCCAGGCGTTAGCACTTCAGCCAGTCTTTTTGGGAGAAACAATTCAACCCACTTCACTGAAGGAATGACTGCTCTACTGAGTCACCTTGTATTCTGATGAATTTTGGCCTATTTTCTATGTCCCTGGCCTTGGGGACTGGCACTGTTGAAGCCTCAGCCCCCAAATAAATTCCAAATTCACCTTTTCATATATTCCCTCTCTGGGCCAGCACAGCAGCCCCCAAAACCCGCTAAGGATGCCAGTTCCCCATGGAACAGGGAACTTGGAGGCAGAAAATAATTACAACTATATAACAAGTGTATGATTATGAACTGGACTGAGTTCTAATCCCACTTTCTTTATGAACTAGCTCTCTTACCTTGGGCAAACGGGTAATCTCACTAAATATAAAGGGCATTAATATTTAAATGTGAAAGCATGTATGAAGTTTCAACAGCTGTTTAGGAAATGAGTGAACACGTGATTTGTAGTAGGTGTTCAGTTCACGCCAGTATCCCCTTCCCAGTTCCCGTGGGACTGCCCGCTCTGAGGGCGTTAAAAGAGCTTCAGGCACTGACCCCAGGTCTGCCTCCAGGGTACAAGTAGATCTTATTTGGTGTCTCTGCAGTGACATGTGCCCCACAGTGGAGAACTGCACCCCAGTCGCCCGGTTCCTCCTGCTGGGGCTCACGGAGCAGGCAAGGCTCAAGGGCATCCTGTTTGTGCCCTTCCTGTTCGTCTACTTGGTCACCCTCACGGGCAACCTGGCCATGATCACCCTGATCCACACAGACCCACAGCTCCACACGCCCATGTACTTCTTCCTGAGTGTCCTCTCCTTCATAGACTCCTCCTTCTCCACGGTGAACACCCCCAGGCTGCTGGAGAGCTTCCTCACCTCAGGCCAGTCCATCTCCTTTGCAGGCTGTGTGGTCCAGATGGCCCTCATGACTCTCCACGGTACGGCCGAGTGTCTGCTCCTGGCCACCATGGCGTATGACCGATTCGCTGCCATCTGCCACCCTCTCCTCTACCACACCATCATGTCCCAAAGTCTGTGTGTCCAGCTGGTGGCAGCCACCTATACGGCTTCTGCGGCCATTTCAGCTTTGCTGACTGGGTACATCTTCAAGCTGCCCTACTGTGGTCCCAACATCGTTAACCACTACTTCTGTGACCTCTCCGCTGTGCTTCAGCTTGCCTGTGCAGACACTGCTGAGGTTGAATTCATCATCTTCTCATCTTCTGCCATGATTATCCTCTTTACCATCACCATTATCCTGGTCTCCTATGCCTACGTGCTGGTGACTATCTGCAGGATGCGTTCCCTTAAGGCTCAGAGCAAAGCGCTCTCCACCTGTGCTTCCCACCTCACCGTCATCTGTCTCTTCTATGGCACCATCACCTTCATGTATACTCAGCCACGCTCTCCCAGTTCCATGGAACAGAACAAGGTTGTGTCTGTCTTCTACACTGTGGTCATCCCCATGCTGAACCCTCTGATCTACAGCCTGAGGAATAAAGATGTGAAGGCTGCATTAAAGAGGAGATGCTTTGGCATGCTGCCTTCCTAACTGAGGGTGGGACATTCTATCCCAAGCCATAACATGGTGGACACAACATGAAGCATGGATAAGATTAACACTTGGATAGAGGGAAATACGTGCCAGCATTATTTTAAGTGCTTTACACATATCATAGAGAAGTTGTGGTGTATATATATATACACATACATATATTTATGTATGTATGTGTATATATATATGTGTGTACAATGGAATACTACTCAGCCATAAAGAGAATGAGATAATGTTATTTGCAGCAACATGGATGAACCTAGAGATTATCATACTAAGTGAAGTAAATCAGAAAGAGAAAGACAAATACTGTATGATGTCATTTACACGTGGAATCTAAAATATGATACAAATGAACTTATTTGCAAAACAGAAACTGACTCACAGACATAGAAAATAAACTTATGGTTACCAAAGAGGAAAGGGGGTAGGGGAGGGATAAATTAGGAGTTTGGAATTAGCAGATACAAATTACTATATATATAATAGATAAACAACAAGGTCCTACAGTATGGCACAGGGAATTATATCCAGTATCTGGTAATAAACCATAATGGAAAAGAATATGAAAAAGAATATACACACACACACACACACATATATGTAACTGAATCACTTTGCTGTACACGAGAAACTAACACAACATTGTAAATCAACTATACTTCAATTTTTTTAAATAAATAAAAGTCTTACACTTATCAACTCATTTAATCTTCACAATGAGCACTTGAAATGGACAATATTATTATCCCTTAGAAATCTGAAGCACAGAGAGGCTGAGTAAATGGCCCAAGGTCACACAGCTAATAAGAAACAGAGCCAGAATTTGAATCCAAGCAGTCCGGTTCCAGAAACCATGTTCTCAAACTATACACTATATTGCTTTTTTCTGATGAATGCATCTCACAGACAATGAGCAGTTTTTCCTATCCATCACTTTAATGTTTGAAGAAGAAACCTGGAGGAATGGGGGAAAGTGCCAGCTGTCTATCCCCTGTTTGTAGCCTTTTCAATAAGAGCCAAGCACAGCCATTGGCCTCTCATTGGCCAGAACTTAGTCACATGGGAGCCATATGACTTGGCCAAGCTGGGAAATAGGATTATTAGCAGGGCACATGCCACCTCTGTTTTTAAAAAGGAAGAGGAGAATGACTACTGGATAGGCGTCTAGCAGTCCAGGCCACCCCTCTCCTGCTGCCTACGGCCTGGAGCAGAGCCTGGCAGAGGGCTGATGACTCATCCACCACGCGGATGCACCCTGCCCACAGGTTGTGTGTGGACAGCATCTAGCAAGTTTCAATTTTCCAGCCCACACAAAAAAATTTTGATGAGATCACATTTTTAAAACCCATGTTCCCAGTTTCCCTGGGAAGAAAAACTGAATGAGCGCATTCCACCAGTCCTGTCCCCAGCATAGCCACGATCGTCTGGCGCCGAGTCAGAGATGCCCTTTTAAGTAGGCCCCAGTTTCTCCAATTCTCCCCACTCCCATTTTTCCCCAACACTCTTCTTAGAGTATCTGTTGCCTGTTTGTCATGCCCTGAGTTTCTCATAATAGTAAAGAAAATGTAATATTCATATGTCTAGCAAAACTGAGAAAAGAAAACAAAGGCCTAGGTCCACACGTGTCAAGACAAGTAGGCAGTGCCAGGAAGACACTCAGTGGGCACTCTTTGAATGAATGACAATAACATCTGTCTTCTGAATGGGAAGAATGTCCCTACAGGGGTACTGTTAACCCCTCCCTCCCCAAAAAAAGTGTGTCCATGGAGAAAGAATACATTTTTCACTCACGTAAGGTGTCTGAGTGGTCCTTGTAGGCATGTGAGTTTGCAACCCTTGGCCCATGGAGAAAATTCTCAACTTCTTAGTATTATCTTTACAAGCCTGTCCCAATCTAATTTCTAGGGAGCACCCCTACTGTTCCCACCAAGCACCTACCCCGGGGCCACGACCAGTCAGCTGGCCTGGCCTGAACACGTCATGCATCTGCACATACTTCTTCCTTTGCTCATGTCCCCCCCCTCCCCCCGCTGGAGCCTGGAATGTGCTTCCCCAGGCCTTTGTCAGCCGGACACATCTTTCGTTATCATTCTAGTCCCAGCCTAAATGCAGCCTCCTCTGGGGAACTTCTCTGACTCCTTCAGAGAGAATTCCCCATTGCTTCCTCTGTGCTCTGGTTTGTCTTTGTTAAAGAAAAAAATGCTAAACTACCAGAAACCAAAGACTGAGTGCTGAAAGTGAAAAAAAGAAAGTAAGAGAGAGAGAGAGAGCATGCGAGGGCAGGCTGGAGGGAGGGAGGAAGGAAGGAAGAAAAATTTGCTTTAAGGAAGCCCAGCCCAGCCCAGCCCAGCCTAGGAACACCTCAGACCTGAGGATGTGGGAGGAGAAACAGCGTTGTTTTATAAAGCCAGAAGGCCATGAACTGTCCCTTCCTCAGGTTAGGAAAGCAAGGTCCCTGAGTGTTCCTGACAGCTGCTAACACCTGGGTTTTTTTGTTTTGTTTTGTTTTTATTGAAGTATAGTTGATTTATAATGCTGTGTGAGTTTCCAGTGTACAGTATAGTGGTTCAGTCATACACATGTAAACATATTCTTTTTCAAATTCTTTTTCATTATAAGTTATCACAAGATATTGAAGATAGTTCCCTGTGCTATATTGTGGGACCTTGTTTATCTATTTTATATATATAGTAGTTTGTATCAGCTAATCCCAAACTCCTAACTTATTCCTCTCCCTCCTTCCCACACCATAAGTGTGTTTTCTATGTCCATGAGTCTGTTCGTGGAGCAGAGAACAGAGTCTCATTTATCTCCGAGACTTTATTGCAGCCTTCATTTCGTGGAGAAGGTCACGTAGCTGGGAAATTGTAGCCTCAGGATGCAGCCGAAACCGGCGGGGTCCAGAGCTCAGGCTCTCTCCACAGCTCTGGACAGCCCTGTCATCACTCTGAATTCTGGCTCTCTGTGCCTTTAAAGCCTCTGGAATCCCCGAGTCCCCTTTGAAAACATTTATAATCGTTTTAAGCTTGCAGACTTTGTGTTCCCAGCCAGACTGTAAAATCCCTGAGGGCAGGGCGTGTGCCTTACAGAGCTGGGGTTTGGAATTAGGGCGCCAAGAAATCTGGTGGTAAAGGGGGAGGGTATGGCTCAGTGGTAGAGTGCTTGCTTAGCATTCATCAAGGTCCTGGGTTCAATCCCCAGTACCTCCATTAAAAAATAAATAGGTAAACCTAATTACCCCCAACAAACAAACAAAAAAGAAATCTGGTGGAAAAGTTACAGGACAGACCTGTCCAAGCACCAGCAATGCTCCTCCCAGCCGCAGACACTGGAGACCTGGATTTCTGCAAGAAATCCGCAGACAAAGTAAGTTTTTATTCTCTCTGATAAAATGCTATCAGCTTCCACCAGCTTCCTTCTCAGCCCAACAATTCTGGTAGAGTCAGGTCTGACCAGAAGCTTCTGCGCTCAGGGTAGCTGCAGAGGGAGTTGGGAATGGGGGGGTGGGGGAGAAAAAAGTAGACCAGCAAGGTAAGGGGAAGAGAGTGGGCAACTAACCACATCCCCTCTGGACCCACCTCCCCTCTAGCCCTCTCTCCCAGTGGGCTTATCTCCTGCAGGGAGAGGTCTCCACCTGAGGCTTGGGGCATGTGCGTCACACTTGGGAAGGAGAGCCTCTCTATCAGGATGAGTTCAGGCAGGCTTGGAGTTTGGGGGAAGGGCCATGCGTCACTGATGATCAAGAAAGAGCCGGGGAACGGGGGAGGGTGGGGCAGGCTCCTCTGCTGTGTCAGTGTGCACATCTCCCCTCCTGACCTTTGCCCAGGGATATCCAAAGCCTTTCCCAGGCAAGTCAGGGTCTCTTAACCTTGACACTATTAACGTTGGGGGCTGGATAATTCTTTTTTGTGGGGGGCTGTCCTGTGCACTGTAGAATGTTCCACAGCATCCCTGGCCCTAAGATGCCAGCAGCAGCCCTGCTGCACCCAGTGGGATAACCAAAGACGTCTTCAGTGTTTCCAAATGCCCCCTGGGGGCAGGAAGGAATGAGCCTGGTGGAGACGACCAGCCTTCGTGGGCCTGCTTGCCCTCCTTCCCTTCCTCCTGCAGAAGGCTGGGCTGAAGTCTCAATCCCCCTGATCTCCTCTCCTGTAGCTGCCTCTTCCCAGCCACTCCTGCAGGTTATCCCCTTATTATATCAAGGGCCTTAGGCTGCTTCTCTCAGGGCTGTGGATGAGAAGGAGTAAGTAATGATTGTGGAGAAGTAATCAAGTTCCAGAGCCTAGAGAGGGAAGAAAGAACCAGGAAGGGACCCAGGAGTCCCCATCCTATGGTGACTAAAAGTCCCGATGGACTGAGCCAGCACCAACCAACAGAATCATAATGCAGAAACCACAGATACAAGCCGAACATGTAATTTAAATTTTCTAATAGTTAGTTACATTTTTTTAAAAATTAAAAGAAACTGATAAAATTAATTTTTAAATGTACTTTCTTTAACCCAATATGTCAAAAATATAGTCACTTCAACATGGAATCAATATTTTAAAATTAGTAATGAGATATATTCCATTCTTTTTTTTTCATTCTAAGTCTTCGGCATCCAAAGTGTATCTTTCACTTACAACATACCTCAAGTTGGACCTGCTGCATTTCAAGAGCTCAAGAGCCACATGTGCCTCGTGGCTACCATGTTGAACATGGAAGGACTGAGTTTTCTTACAGAGGAGGGGGTTCACCCCTGCCCTTCTCCTGGCACCAAGTGGCTTCCAGATGCCACAGTCTTAGCTACACAGTGAGGCAGTCTAATCTCCAAGTAAACAATTTGCAACTCAGAGGACAAGATACTCATTTCAAGTGGCCCCTGCCCCACACAGAACAATGCCTACTCCTGGACACATAAACAAAGCAGCTGCGTGTTGTTTATTGGGTCCTTTTCAGAGACTTGGACCTTAAACATTCCACACCACACCCCATGTCAGGAAGAAAGTTAT